TGCTCTGTAAACAATGTGACTGTTACAATTGTTCAAGGCCGATAATAAGCAAGTCCTTAAGATGGGCAATTCCTACTTCATAGCAACTTGAGAATGGTATTAGTCATAAGAAAAGAGAAGTAAGATGAACAATTGTTGCTGCATGGCAACTTGAAGATAGTGTTAGTCATAATAAAAGGGAAGTGGCTTGCATTGGTTTTGGCATTATTGATATTTAATTTTTGAGTTATATAATAAAAAATAACGCTATTTATATCGACAACCTTCTCTACTTTTTTTATTTGATAATCAAATTTGTATTTCATCTTACTAATAACGGCATAAACCAATCTTTACATCAAAAACCTTGTAAAGGTTTTTCAAATCCTGTAATACTATATAAGCACTCAGGAAACCCCTCAATCCATGCTTCTTCCTTCCTTATCTCTTCAGCCACACGTGCAACGGCATGAGCACCCCTATCACCTTCTCTTTTGACATGTTGAAATCCCTCACTACTTTGGTTGCAAACATCAAGAGATATGGTGTATGCCTATATGGTCTTTTTTTTTCTCCGATCTGAGTACATTGTTTCTAACCCCTTTTTTATGGTTCCTGCAACCCTGCTTTGGTCCTTCCTTTTCTAAATTTTTGAAGTCTAGGCTTGATAACATTCTAGAAGTCGAGCCCAATACATCTTTGGGAGCAAAAGTTATAGTGACACCTAAAAGTGCGACATAATTTTTTGTATTATAATTTTTAAAACATTAACTTAATTTAATTTAATTATTATAAATAATTGATAACTATAACTCTTAATTAATTATAAAGAACAAAATTGTTAATATTTATTATTTAACATATTACAATAAATTTATAAACTAATATTTTCATATATCAATTAATTATATAACTATACATTATACTATAATTATAACATTTTTATTTTCTTTAATTTATGTTGTTGCTTCCAAAAATTGCACATTGATTGATGGATTAAATTAAATCAGCTCGAGTTTCAAATGCCTGTTAAAAAATCAAAATTAAATAAGTTCATGAGTGGAGCAGGCCCAATTATTACTGATGGGTTGGGCGCTGGCCGAATAAAAAATGGAAGTAGGCCCAATTATTAGACGCTGAGTCCCCATCTCAGCATGGTCAACAGAGGTGGTCAGTAAACAATGTCCAAAACATTCATTCTTTTTTTTTTTTTTTTGGTAGGGGGTAATGGTTTAGACCAGAGCATTCATTTTTGATAGTTATAATGTTTGCTTTTGTTCTTTTCATTCTAATTTCCACCTTTTGGTTATATGATTGATGTAGATTTTATTAGAAAAGAATTACTAGATTGGAGAAAACGTTTCAATATCATTGAAGGAATTAGCCAAGATCTCATTTATCTACATAGAGATTCTAAACTACGAATTATTCATAGTGATCTAAAATCAAGCAACATCTTGTTGGATGAAGAGTTGAATCCAAAAATTTCAGACTTTGGAATGACTAGGATTTTAAGAGGAAATGAAGATCAAGCCAATATTAGACGAGTTGTTGGGACATAGTAAGTTGAATCTCCTTGGGCCAAAATTATAGAAAATATTGCTTCACATTCTAAAATAAATCAAGTTTGTGTTTAGATATTAAAATGTAGTGGCTATATGTCCCCTGAATATGCAATGGTAGGATTATTTTTAGAGAAATCCGATGTGTTCAGCTATGGTGTATTATTACTAGAGATGGTTAGTGGGAGAAGAAACACAAGTTTTGGTAATGATGAGGATACTTTAAGCCTTTTGGAATATGTAAGTTAAGTATCATTGCCAATCAGCACTTTTGTTTGATTTCTCAGTTCCATCTTCAAACTAATCTTTACACTTTCGAGGCTTGGAAATTGTGGAATGAAGACAATGTTTTGGCAATGGTAGATAAGTTGGTTTGCGATCCATGTCACCATAGAGAGATTCTAAGATGCATACATGTGGGATTGCTATGTGTGCAAGAAATGGCAAAAGATAGACCAACAATGTCCACAGTCATTTCAATGCTCAACAGCGAGATTGTGGATCTCCCTTCTCCAAAACAACCTGCTTTTATTCTAAAACAGATTGCAAAAGATGCAAAGTCCCCTTCTCAGCATGGTCAACGAAGATGCTCCATAAACGATGTGACTGTTACAATTGTTCAAGGCCGATAAGAAGCAAGTCCTTAAGATGAGCAATTCTTGCTGCAGGGCAACTTGAAGATAGTATTAGTCATAAGTAAAGGGCTGTAGCCTACATTGGTTCTAGCATTATTGGTTTAATTTTTTAGATTCTAATTGGTTTTTTTTTTCTTTTTTATACATTTATTGACAAGTTATATGAAAGATTAAAAAAAAAAATAACATTTCCCTATATTCAAATTTCTGACACTTTGGTTCAAAACAAAAAGATACGTAAGATAGGTTCTTCTTTTTTCCAATCTTAATTTCTGGTTTTATTTTTCATTAAAAGTTACAGGTGATCTAATATAGGCCTCTACTTTTTTATTCACAAGAAAAGGGAAATAAGATGAACAATTCTTGCTCTATAGCAACTTAAAGACAATTGTAGTTATAAGAAAAGGTAAGTAGCTTGCATTGGATTGCATTATTGGTTTTACTTTTCAGGTTTGCATAGATTTTTTTTTTAAATTAAATTTTAAATTATATGATAAAAATATAACTCTTTTTATATCCAAATCCCTCCCTACTTCGACTGCGAACAAGAATATGCATGGTATATGATCTTTTTTGTCCCGTCCAAGTTCTAGGTTTCTTTCTTCTTCTTCTTCTTCTCTCTTTTTTTTTTTTTTTTTTTTTTTAAGTCCAGGCCCTATAACATCATAGAAGTCAAATCGAATACACCAATGGGGAAAAATGTTATGGCCATACTTAAAACGTTAAAACCACATAATTTTTTGTATTATGTTTTTTAAAATATTATCTCAATTTAATTTAGTTATTAAAAATAATTAATAATTATATTTATTAGTTGCAAATGATAAAATTATTAATATTTATTAATTAATAAATTAAAATAAATTTATAAATTCATATTTTATTATCAAAAAAATAAATTAATATGTTTATATATTTTATAAAAAACATTCATAATATTTGGGTGGTCTTAATTCTTTCTACGTGGCTTTAACCATGCCCCATCTACGGGCGAGGCTCGTTTATAATAAAAAGCATGGGCCATGTGTTGGTTATGAAGAATCAAACAGGACCTTAAACGGAGAATTGTGGGCTTTTTTTATAAACGAGCCCAGTTAATTTGGAAATATTGACCGTTTGTTTTCTGTATACGACCCGTTTCTTCTTCGCATCTAATCCGACTTCATCAGCAGTTTTCCTTTTCCCTCCATTTTCTGCTTTTTTGTTTAGGGTTTTCAGAAAGCAGAAAAATCAAGTTACGTGAATATATGTCAAATAGGAGCCTGGATGCTCTTCTCTTTGGTAGGAGCACCTTGATGCATATTCTCTTTCTTGAATAGCTCCAACGTATTTAAAATATTGATCATTTGCTCTCTTTTAATTTTTTGAAATTTATTTAGATCTACGAAAACATCATCTACTTGATTATGAAAAATGCTTCAAAATTATAGAAAGAGTTTGTCGAGATCTATTCTATTTTCATAAAAAAATCTCAATTGCTACTTATATATAGAAATTTGAAGGTAGATAACATTTTATTAAATGAAGAAATGAATTAAAAAAATTTCAAACTCCGAATTAGTAAGGATTTTTAAGAGTAATATGAATTAGGCCAATACTAAGAGGATTGTGGGAACACAATAAGCTTTCAATTCTTTATCCACCTCTAAGATTTTCAAATAATTGTCTTAAGTTATAATAGTTATATTTTTCTTTTAAAATGTGAAATAAATAGATTATATGTACTTGAATATACAATGAAGAAAGATTTTTAAAAAAATTCAACATATTTAGTTTTGGAGTGTTGGTATTAGAGATTGTTAACCGAAAAAGAAATAAAAACTTTTCAATGATGAACAATCTTTAAATCTCTTGACACATGTAAGTCTAACTCACTCTTTTATTATAGAACTTGACAGGGTATATCGAATGTGTGTATAGAAGAAAACTAACTTTTGCAGTTCTATATAGGCCTGGAAATTGTGGAAGGAATTCAACATTTTGGGCTTAATAGATCCAGAAATCTATGTTCCAAGGTTTCTGTTTCCACAGTTTCATTCAGAAGTTTCGAGATGCACTCATTTGGGATTGTTGTGTGTGCAAGAGTTTGTGGATGATAGGCCAAATATGTAGACTGTAATTTCAATTCTCAGTAAAGAAATCGAGTCAGGAAAAGAAACCCGCATTCACCGAGAGGAAAGCAGGCGTAGCGACATCTGTATCAAGTCAGGAAAAGATATGTTTTGCTAACAATGTCACAATAACGATTATTCAAGGCAGATAACAGGTTTAGGTGCTGTATATTCTTTTTATTTGTAAGTTATGTTCCATATAATCAATGTTCTAAGCTTATCGCAAGTTTGGCATGCTTGGAAGTAGTGCCAAGACAGGGACATATAGAGGGAAGCCCTATAAATTTGGGTAATCTGTAAGATTTTAATACAAATTCTTATTTTTATATTTTTATTATTAAAATTATAAATTTACAATTATTATGTAACATTGAATGAAAATAACATAAATACCTATAATATAAATCATGAATTAAAAAACCTAATTGTATAATAATATATTTAAGCTTTACAATGGGCAGCTGATATTGTAACTCATTTTCCTTTCAAGTAATCATTTTTTTTAAGGAATTCCACCAAATGACTTGATGGTTGCACGTTTCGTTGAGGTAGATGGGTTGTTTCTCGTATCTAGAGATTAAATCCTCAGTTACTAACATCTAATAATACTAATTTACTAACTATTATCTTATAAAAAAAAATCATTTTTTCTAAGGGTAATGCCAAATTGGGTAAGCTTGGATAACTAAGATTTAAATTACTGATTCTACTATTGGAAATGGCTTCTGTCTAGCAAAATTTCCTGATAGTTCCAGAAAAGCACACACTTTCTTACTCCGGAAGAGCATACCTTACCCAGAGAAGAATGCTTTCGTTCTTTTGGAATCCTGACAAGAGGAAACAGAGACATTGGAACGGAGAGAGAGTCAGAAATCGGAAAATAGAGATGAAAATAACAAAGAAAATCGTAAAGCAACTAGAAGAGAGAAACCCATAAATTGTGAAGAGGGTTTTTTCCATTTGGAGAAAAGTAATAATTTTGAGTGATTCTGTTGAGGATCTTTTGGTTATAACAAAGATCAATTTTGCTGCCGGAAATTCTCTCGACCGCTGAAGAAATGAGGGAATCCATCAGTTCCACTTGTAAGCTTAGATTTTGCTCCTTGAATTGTCTGTACCACATGCAATTTTCTGTTGCAATTGAAATATAGCTTTGTGCTCTTCTTTGTGTTGACTTGGGTAATGGTTTGCCCACCAGCTGTTTGATATTATGTCACTGTAAGTTTCAAGCTGACTTTGAGTTAGTTTTTCTTGGTAAAGTTGCAGTTGACATGCAATGACAAGGTTGCTTCTTTTTCTTTTCCCTTTTTTTTCCTAACCAAACTTCAGTTGGAGTTTTCTTCTAATGATCCACCTTTCATCAAAGAGCAGGTGTCAAATTTTCAGTTAGGTGAAGAAAATTGGTGTCCAGAATTTGTCATTTCTTGGATGTCAATTCAGAAATAAAAACAAAATGAAAAAAATGCAAGGTCCTATAGCACCTAGGAAAAGTATATGAGAAGAACAAACATGGCACCGCCGGCCATGAAATTGAAGAGTCAGTGCTTCTATATCCTCATTTTAATGAAAATAGGGGAATTTGCAAGTCTGGGAATGAGCAGAGGAATGATTTCACTAGTTTTTCTCTTACTATTTTGTTCTTGTTTGCAGTTTGGCTCCTCAGCAAACAACATAGCTCCATCAAAATCTATCAAATATCCAGAAGCTATAATCTCCAATGGCAGCAAGTTCCAACTGGGATTCTTCAGCCCTGCCAGTTCTACTGATCTTTACGTGGGAATATGGTACAACGGTATTGACCCTGTAAAAGGCGTTATATGGGTAGCAAACAGGGAGAAGCCTCTGAAGGACTCCTCCGGAACGATGATGATATCTGAGGATGGCAATCTTGTAGTTGTGAATGGGCAGGAGGAGGTTCTTTGGTCATCCGATGTTGAAAAGCTGACAGGTAATAATACAATTGCTGAGCTTCAAGACTCTGGAAACCTGGTCTTGCTGGATAAAACCACTGGCGTGAACATGTGGGAGAGTTTCCAACAACCTTCTAATGTTTATATGCCAACAATGAAACTCGGTGTTGATTTAAGATCTGGTGAGAAAGTCCAGCTGACATCATGGAAAAGCCCTTCTGATCCATCTGTTGGTAATTTCTCTTCCGGGATCGAGCCTTTCGACATACCTCAATCCTTCGTGTGGAAAAATTCTCAGCCATATTGGAGGAGTGGCCAGTGGAATGGTCGGGTATTTGTTGGACAACCAAATATGAAATCTACCTATCTTAATGGGTTCAGACTTGAAGCTGATAAACAAAAAGGAATCTTTTATCTTTTTTTTGTTCTTGGTGATGGTGAATCTTCTTTGTTAGACTATTTCATGGATTCAGAAGGAATACT